TGCATTATTCAAGAAGCCAATCCAAATTAAGACAATGTCATAATACCTCTCGTTCATGCTCAAAAAGCTATTCCAGAATAACAAACTTTACATCTTAAAGAACAATGCCATTAAGAAGATCTACTAGAGGGAGGAGAAGTGCAATTATGATTATATTATATTTCTCCATGAATATGAGGATGACATTGGAATGATGAAAGATGATCCAATCAACTTCCATCAAGTCATGCAAAATTCTAACTTTCAGAAGTGGATTGATGTCATAAATGAAGAGATTAAGTCCATGAAGGACAATGACATTTGGGATCTTATCCTATTGCCTGAAGGTATGAAACTTATTGGTTACAAATAGATTTTTAAGACTAAGAGGGATTCAAAGGGCAATGTGGAAAGGTATAAGATACGTTATATTGTCAAGGGCTTTACACAGAAAAAAGATATCGATTATAAAGAGACTTTCTCTCCGGTTTCATCAAAAAACTTTTTTAGAACTATAATAGTTTTAATGGCACATTTTGATCTTGAATTACATCAGGTGGATGTTAAGACAACGTTTCTCATTGGTGACATTGATGAGACGATTTATATGGTGCAGCTAGAAAACTTCATATCGGGCGATGTGAAACAAATTATTTGCAAACTAAAGAAATCCATCTATGGACTTAAGCAAGTTTCTCGTTAATGGTATCATAAATTCTATCAAGTTATCATCTCGTTTGGTTTTGAAATGAATATAGTTGAAGATTGTATATACCATAAGTTTAGTGGGAGTAAGTATATTTTTCTTATTTTGTATGTCGATGACATTCTACTTGTTAGTAGTGATATAAGCTTATTGCATGAAACTAAGAGATTTTTGATAAAGAAATTTGATATGGAAGATCTTAGAGGAACTTATTTTGTATTAGGGATTCAGATATACCGGGATCACTCTATTAGTATTCTTAAATTATCACAAAAAAGGTATATCGAAAAAGTCCTTAAAAGATTTGGCATGTAGAATTGTAAACCAGGTGACACCCTTATGTCTAAAGGAGATAAGTTTGTTCTTAGTCAATGCCCCAAGAATGACTTTGAGACTAAAGATATACAAAAGATTCCTTATGCTTCAGTTGTATGAAGTCTTATGTATGCGTAAGTTTGTACATGTTCGGATATTGCGCATATTATTGGGATGTTAGAGAGATATTTAACTAATTTAAGTATGGATTATTAGAAAGCAATCAAACACATTATACAGTATCTTCAGAGAACAAAAGACTATATGCTGACATACAGGAGATTGGATTAGTTGGAAATCATTGGTTATTATGATTTTGATTTCATCGGATGTCAATATAGTAGGAAATCCACATGGGCTATATCTACTTACTTGTTGGGTGAGCCATTTCTTGAAAAAGTGCTAAGCAAACACTCATAGTTTCTTCCACCATGGTAGCAGAGTTTGTAGCATGTTGTGAGGCGTGCAATCGTGAAACATGGTTGCGAAATTTTGTTATTAGGCTGTGCATTGTTGATGGCATAGAAAGATTGTTAAAGTTACTTTGTGATAATAAGTCTGCAGTTATGTATTCCAACAACAACAGGAGCTCGACGAAATCAAAACATATAGATATCAAGTTCTTAGTTGTTAAATAGAGAGTTCACAGTAAACATATATCAATAGAGCACATCGAGACAAACTTCATGGTTGCAGATCTGCTCACAAAGGGATTAATAGTTAAGGTATTTCATGAACACATTGCTCGTATGAGTGTAGTACCTTTTGGTGATGTATAGTTTCAATGAGAGTTTTATACCAGAGTTGCTTTTATAATAAAGACATGTCATAAGTTTTGTATTTTGGATTTAGTTTATGAATTTTATAATTAATTTCAATTATAATGTTTTTGTTCTTGTTTATATTTTATCTCTTAATTTTTTTGCAGTTGATCTCACTAATGTTAAAGTAGTTACAGTTGGAAATAGACATGCTTGGGTTACATTGCATGTAATTTTCATGCTACACATCCATGCTTAATCTATATCATTTAGTTATATTAATATACATGACCATTGATAAGTTTAGTTACGATAGATGTAGCGAAGACCACTTTAATCTTATGTTGATATGATTGATGGACGAGATTGTTTAGGGATGTATTTAGGTAATGATAGCAAAATTCTGGGTACTCATAAAGTTATTTAATGTACAATTATGAGGTAACACATATAACCCAAGTAAGAAATTATCGGATTTTAAATTTACCATGTACACTTATATGTGTAAATCACTGTGCATAAAATGCTATTAGATTAATTGGGCCCAGTTAGAAGTGATCTGATATGGTTAATGATATATTGGAGTTTAATGCATCAAATTAAAGTGTGAACTTTATTTTATGTGTAGAGATCAAATCTATAATTTCTAATTTTGTGATAAGTCAAATTAGGAGTATAAAAAATTTACAAGTCGGTTTTACCTATAAATAGGCGGTTATAATCCCTAAGTTACATGTAGAATTTTTTCTATTCTAATATTTCATCATCAGAAATAGAGAGAGTGAAAACTCAAAATATTACGTATTAATTTAGAATATCTACCGCATGACGTGCAGATTTTTTTCATTATGGATTTATGTACGTTTCCATGTTTATTTTCTTTTATTCAGCACAAAATTTTTATGTTTTGTTTAGATTTGGTTTAATTTAATTCTAACATATATATGTATATGTATATATATATATATATATATATATATGCACGTATATTGGGAATCATGCTTTATTTTCTTCAGCTAGCTTGTGAACCGCAAATAGTAGGTAATATTGGTAGAATACTGTTTAAAATAGATATGATGGAAATGAACTGGAGTTCTTCCATGCAAAGAGTTGGTTGTAATGGTGGTGGTATGTTGGGTGTATGATGATGGGGGTGATCTCATAGAGGTGGAGGTGGTGATGGCAGAATTTTCTCGTAATCCATGGAGTCAACACGATGACTGAGCATTCCAAATTTCAATTGGCGTGGTCGGAGATGGTGACGAGTTTCTTGTTTCAACAATAATCTCTTGCTAATTCAAGTTATAAATAAACAGATAATTATCAAGATTAAATATATATATATATATATATATATATAACATATGTATGTAGTCTATATATCAAGATTAAGTATACATATGTAAATGTGTTTGGATATATCTATTGTATATAGTTTCTCGTTTCATCAATAATCTTGTAATTCAGTATTTAACGTGCAGTAAGTTTTACAACACCGAAGATTAAATGAAGAACTTCAAAAATGCTGTATAAAATATCAAGATTAAGTATACATAGATGTATGTATATAGTGTACATATTACCATCACAATCTCTTAAGTACCTGCTAGAATTCTTCCTTGAGCTGGAATGATTAAAAGCCCGAAGAATAGAAACCATCTAATGATGAAAGCAAGATAGAACATAAATGAGTTAGTAGAGGCATATATTATAATAAAATATATAAATAAAGTTAGCATTTTGATTTAGTAAAGTATGATTATTGTAGGTATTTACTTAGTTTATATCTTACTTTTATAATATAAATAAATTATAATGGAAGTAAAATACAGCAGTAGCTCCTTCTTTCTCTCTGGAAAGTGCAGAGCAGGACTGACGCCATTTTTGGGGGAGGTAATTCTCAATCTCCCTGATTTTTTCTTTCAGAACTTACTTTTTTTTTTTTTTTTTTTTGAAAAGACTCGCCAAAGCTTGCTTTGTCTCATCACTTACAGCTCTCGTCCCTCTCCGTAAATCTTTTTTCCTTTCTTTGACCATAGAAGCAGCTTATTGATTTTACCGATCTTATCCATTTACTTAATTCAAATTTAAATTCAAAAGTAGGTTGTGAAGAAAGTGACTCACCGGAGCCTGCGCAGCTGCCATGCAGCGTGTTAACATGAATATCTGAGTTTTATTTTATCGGGTCATTTTTGGTGTAATCAAGCACAACTCCATGCTTATAAATGTAATCATGCAATTCAATAAAGTTAGTTTTTTCCTCTCTTAAAAAAAAAACAAAAAGAAACCAAATTCTTCTAAAATTAAAGAAACAGAGGGTGCTGCAGCCTTGGACTCTGTTTTACAGTTCTCTCTCTCTCCTTGACTCTCTCTCTCTAAATTTGCTCACCGTCTCAGCTTCTTT